AACTTATATTTTTACTTGCTAAATCTGGCAATCTTAATCATAAACAAATAAATAAACAAACACAATTTTCAGAAAAGAAGGAATTTTAAAATTAATAAACAATGTTATCAGTGGGAAAAAAATGACAGCAAACCCTAGTGACCATGGGGCTCCTGTTTCTGAAAATGACAATGGGGTGGGGAAGTAAAAATTAATAAAGATGGTTTTAATTAATATGAAACAAATAAACATAGAAAAAAATGTCAAATTTCAAAAACAAACTAGATTGGTTTTGTTTAAAGGAAAAGGAACCAAAACACCACCACCAACAGTCCTTGCACTAGTAGATAACACTTTTCTAATCACCTGTCATTTCTCAGGAAATGCTTTTGTGCCATCCTCACCACCTGAGGCAGATTTGTTTCAGTAGTTTTATGCTGCATAATTTTTACTTCTTATTTAAGTTTTCAAAATACCGTATTTCCCCATGTATAAGATGCATCCTTTTTCGAAAAATTTGGGGTCTAAAAGCTGGGTGTGTCTTATACAGTGGTCATAGAATTTTTTTTTTTACTTGCATTTCCCGCTGAGGACGAGGCAATATATGAAAACAGTGATTCGTCATCAGACACAGATGAGGAGAAGCTGATGGTTGGGAGTTTTGACAGTGATGAGGAGTTGTATGAATTTTATGATGAATAAAACTTGAGTTCAATAACTTTAGTGCATTTTTAAAAAATTTTGGGCCCCAAAATTAAGGTGTGTCTTATACATGGGGAAATATGGTAAGCCTTTACTGGCTTGAAATGTAGTGTCTATGGAACTTGCATTCCCTTTGATCTTTTTTTTTTTTTTTTCAAAGTTCTCCCCAAAATGTTTGTAACTACCTGGCCTTTCTGCAAATTATCATGCTGTTCAACACATACTTTCAGGGCCTGAGCTTTCACCCATATTTTTAAAGGAAGACGGGTAAAAGCATTTTCTCAGTACTACCCGTAGATGCAGCTACACAGTGTTTCCTGCAGGAAGGGGGAGCAATCATTGTGGCCCGTTTTGGTTTGAGGGGGCAGAAGTGAAGTATTCATGTATAAAAAAATTTGGGATAGTTAGTTAACATTTGGAATATATATATATATATATNAGACACTCCTATGGCAACCTTCTCCACAGCATTCCCTGCCCCAACCAAGTCCATAATAGCCTCAAAATAATAAACAACAGTGACTGGCACTTATTGAATGCTTAGTATGTGCGAGGGACTGGGATAAACACATACCACCTAACGCAAACTTCACAACAAGTTTCTTGTTCTCATTTTACAGATGAAGAAACCGAGTCCCAAATGTCTTGCCCTGGGGTGTAACTCTAGCGTTTATGTTGTAAGTTCCACTGAGTAAGGTTGTAAAGCTGCTTTCCCTCAAGCATAAGTGCCAAAGGACAGTGAGGGCTCTAGTCATAGCTCTGTCATTTAGTAATTATGGGAATTTGGGCAAATTATTTACTCCTTGATGGCTTAAGGTTCTAATTTGTACAACAAGGAGTAATCTCCAAGGTCTCATCTATTGGGTTGTCGGAAAAGTCATCATGACACATTTTTGCAACGAAAAACATAGAAAAAGTACGTCATGACTTTTCCGACAACCCAATATTTCCGCATTTCTACGTTGATTCTCAAGCCTTGATCTTGTTTCATTGGTATTTTTGAATAGGTACTATGCACATGATGCTAAGCTCAGAAAGAAAATTTGACTACCACACTTTCCCCCAGTAACTTGGTTACCCTCCCCAGAGGTTTCAGCTGCCTTCCAGGGAAACTCTATGAATATACAAGTATAAGTATCATTTCCTGATTTCTTTTATTAACACAAATGGTAGAAAAAGTTAAATATTGTTTCGTCTCTTTCTTTTTTCACTTAAATTTGACTTGAAGATTCTTCCCTGTCTGCAAACAGACAGCTGTCTTTTCCTCCCATTATTTGGAAGGAATTCCTATTCTTAGTGATGGAGATTTAGGTCATCTCTTGAATTTCCAATGCCGCTGCAACAAACACCCTGTGTGCATCCTTCAGTTCGCACATGTGCAAGTATATTCTGCAGTGTATCTCAAGAGTGGGC